GATGAAAAAGTGAGTTTTTAACCAGGTTGAGGTCTAATCTTTTAACCAGCCCACCTTTCATGAGGTCTGAAATCCTGCCTTTTCTCTCCAGAGCAGTGTGGGTTCGGCACATCCATCCCATACAGAGCCTTATGGAGGATGTAGCACATGTAAGGAAATCAACAGCAAGTTAAGCCCTGAATGTCTAAAAACCCTTCCTGGGCACCTGCAAATGTCCTCTCCCCAAAAAATTCTTTACACAGCCTGGTTGTATTTCTACAGAAACCCCAGAAGTCACCTCTCTGCTTGCTCTCAGGCACATCTCCCTGTTAAATGTCAACATTTTGTTCCATGACTTGAAGGTATTAAGATCTCTTCAGAGAAATGATTGAAGGGAAACTTTGTTGAAGGCAATGGTTATCCACAACCCAACAGACAGAGAATGCATGTATGAATAAGTGAAAAGAAGGATTTACCTTCTTCATACTCAAAGTTCCTCTCTAGCAAATGGATTGTATAGGAAATGTTATATATACATATGTGCATGCATGTGTGTGTATCTCCATACTTTCATGGTCTTGTCTGGCAAAGAGGCATTTCTAATATGCTTTCACATCAGTGTCCATCAATGTAGGCTTTTCCCCTTTTTTCCTGTTTTTTAAAATAATGGATTTAGGCTATTGTCTGCCAACATTTACTGCCTGAAGCGTCACTTTACGTCCCAGGGGAAATCCTGCAGCCCTGTGTTCAGCAATGCTGTGTGCAGTGGCTGTGCAGTGCAGGGCTGAGACCTGCCCTGGAGGCAGAGGTGACGCCTAAAGGCTGGCCATGTGGTGGCCACTGCCATGCTGCTAGTTGCAGATGTCCTGCATTCAAGAGCCAACACAGCCAGCCTGGCTCCTGCCGAGTGGAAGAGGCTGAGTACATACCTCAGCCTTCTCTAGATCTTAATCATGACTAATTTATACTGGAGTCAAAATCCAATAACTTCTGGAGACTTTGTAAAAGCACGTAGCACGGTCCAAATAATAACAGCACCAAAAGCTTGCACCATAAAAATCTCTTAGGCTAAAATGGAAAAAGATACTTGCAGAAGATTTTTCTTTCTTTCCTTAACACAAAGATTTGAAAGGAGGGAAAAGTATCACAGATAGGCAGTTCCTTTCAGAGAGGTTTCTTTCTATATCTCCATGTGAAAGCTCTTGGTAAGGGGAAAAAAAAAAAGTAATGCTCTGAAATAAAAATTGTACAGATGTAGCTTTTTTTGAAATGACATCCTGTTTCTCAAGAATTCGATGTAGCCTTTAGTCAGCCTTGTTTCTTACAGTTCTCTGTGCTTTGCATGGTAATTAGCTGCTCCTGTTATCAGCAGCACGATGCTCCCGGCTATTTCTTCAGCAGCCACTGCCGTTATCTTCAGTGGCAGCTCCTCACATCCTCCTGCCAGACTGTACGCCAGCAGCACGTGTGTGCAGATGTTTGGCGGTCTTCGGGCTGCACTGACTGAGAACGAAGGTAACAGGCACAGCATCGGAGGGGGAAGAGGCTGGAGCCCACTTCTCCTGATAGGTGCCCGAGACCACCTAGTATTTTGCTGATGGTTCACTGGAGATTCAGCGAGGCGAGTTTGTTATGACGTATCTCAAAATGCAAAGTGAGGCAAATGATCTGGGTTCATCAGTGTCAGAATAAATACAGCTCATTGCCTTGGCTGGGAATGGCAGCCTCAAAACCTTTATTTTTAATTTTTATTTTGGTTTAATTTTTTCTTTTAAGTAATTAAAACATTAATTGCACAAGTGTTCTGTGGTGTGCAGGCTATTGAGAGGGTGGAGGGACTCCTTTGGGGGCACTGCAGATGTCAGCCTTATGCAGATGCTGCATCATGCAGCCAGCACCAACCCAAATAGTATTTTGGTCAGACAAGTCCACTGATGCAAACAGCGCATCGAGTGCTCTATGCTGTTTGTTGCTTGCAGGTAATGCAGTCTCTTCTTTTAATTCAGATTTTAAGAAAAATTTACTAGCTTTTATTTTTTTATAATTAAAATATGGCCATGAAGTTAAATTCAGGTTGCCAGATTTGCAGGTAGTGTGGGTTCCTCTATAGTGTGTGTAGAGATGTAGTGAAGAGTTTTTCAAGTGAGAATGGGGAGTCTCTTCCTTACCAACATCTACAGACACTTTTCAGACATACCTTAGGTTCCATAATAACACTCTGCATTGTGTTATATGATATCATAACCAAAAAAAAAAGATATGGCCCCAGGCCATATGAGATTGAAATTGCTTGCTGTGTGCAGAACGTGGTCTCTTAGCTTACCCATCCTTATTCTAGAAAGTTTGATACCAACAGTAATGTGAGATCCTTACAAGTATTCAAAGGAAAAAGAAATTAAGAAATTCATATTTGGCACTCAAAAGCTGAAGAACAAAGAGGAAACTATAGAAATAGAGGGGGTTTTTTTCTATTGTTTTCAGTTTTGCATATCTTGTCTTTGGTTTTCTCTTTCCAGCCTTTTTTTGCCTTTTGAAAGGCAATGTGATGACATTGAGAGAGATGTGTAAAATTTTTTTACTCCCTGCCCAGAGATATGATGTGCTAGGGAGAAGAGCTGAAGCTTTAGTTCTGTGATATTAGAAGGTGTAATTTCTTACTCATAAATATTTGCAGACTTACTTCATTACCCTTCTAGGAGGGATATTTAATTTTGTAACAGAAGCTTGTTTCTAAACCTAGCCTGAAATAGTCTATTGCCAAATTTACCTTCAGTAGTTTTGTCTTCACACAAAAATAGCATCATTTTACTTTCATGTATTGTCACTTTACTTCAATGTATTGTATACAGCATAAGATGATAGGTCATCTCATCCCTCCTCCCGTAAGATGGCAATGGACTCAAATAGCAAACTTGAGGTCAGGCAGTAAATTCTTTGCTCTGTAAACAAGGCATTCATGACGACGGCTTTACACTCTCCACTGTTCTTAATGGGATAAGAAGTCATAGGCCGGGGTTTGAGGAAGGAAAGGGAGAAAATGGAGGGAAACCCATAGAGAAGAGAAGAGAAATAAAAATTAACTAATAAGAATTTTTAAATTCTTAAATATCCAGAGATCGTTGTGGTGTTTCTGTCTGTCTTGTTAGGTTCATTGGCAAAATGAACCCTTGCACTTGCATCCCTGCCCCAGCAGCAGGAAGGTCGCGGGTGGTGTTGTGTCCTCAGGGACAGGGCTGAGATCAGAACAGGGATATCTGCTCAGGGCTGCAGTTTCTCTTCAGCATCCATACATCAGATATGAGTACTACTCCAAAGCCTGGCTTTATAGAATGCTTTAGTTCCTTCCCCTCTGAAATCAGTGGTGTAACTCCTGGTTAACTATAAAGCTGACCGACTGCATTGCACCAAAAGAGTTAATACGATTAATTTGTTTAACAATCAAGGGCCATATTCAGCAAAGACTTAGCAGGAGTGCTGACAATAAAGCACTTCTGACTTTCTATGGATTGGCATGAAATAACAGCCCCCCAAAATTATGAAACATAAATTATTCCCTTGCATATGCATGGTTGTCATACTGACCTTGGCTACAGCTGGTAGGCGATGAGTGGCTGCAGATCCAGACCTCCTCAGTCATGCAGCTCACGCTGGGGAGCAGCAGTGATGGTCCAAGAGCAGGACTGGCACAAACTGGCTAGTGGGATCATTTGGATCTAGTAGGCACAGGTGTATCCATTTTTGAAAATGCCTTGTGATTTTTTGAGTGCCCAAATACAGATGTGGTAGAGAAATCCAATTTCCAGGTGAGCAGAGCTCGGCACTTTGGAAAATCAAATTGCTTTGATATTTCTCCAGGTGGTTTTGAGAGGCAAAGACCAAGCTCCCATCTCTGCTAGCTCTTTGGGGACAGTAATTGGTCATATTCATTTTGTTTCTATCCCCACTTTCCACACGGAAAGATCTCAAGCCCCAGTCTCCTGCTTCCTGGGTTAGTTCTGTTATGCAGAAGGAAGAAAAACCTTTCTTTGGAGAACTGTCAGGGAATTTAAGGTGGCTAAGTAAATCCCCAGAAAACTTGTTTGGTGCAGCAGCCACCTGTCTCTTGTGGAGAGCTGCAGGAAACAGGCACCCTCTCAGCACTGGTACCTCCACCTGTGGTGTGGCCGTTCTTCTCAGTTGTGCTGGGCAGTGCAGCTGTGCTCAGGGGCCAGGCAGGAAAGGGGCGTAAGTATGGCAGTCTGGTGTCTCGTCATTGCTGGAAAAAGTTTGGGTCCTAATGAACAACCAAGCTGAGCACGTAGTTGAGGCACCAGCTGGATGGTTCCTGTAGAAGGATAGCTGCTCTGCCAGATCTCTGGTTTACTCTCCCTGGAACGGAAACCATACCATTCAGGAGAGCTGAATTCCTCTGTGCCCTCAGTCCCACAGCACACAGGTGGGTTTACGGTCAGCATTTTAGGAAATTGTAGCCTTCTGAGGACTGCTGTGCTGCCTAGCCCCTGCTCAGTGTTACCACCTGTGTTGCAGTCTCTGCAGCTCTCCCCTCAGCATCACAGGTGCATGATCAGGCCATACATTGTCAGGCTTCACATGGTCAGTGTCACTGCCGTCTTTCCTGCGCTAAGGCTGTGGAGAGATGTTATTTATTTAATATAAATAAAATGCACATATTGGATCTATGTACATGCAATAACTGTTTTGCTTATGCTTATTCATATGCAGTAGAGACAAAACAGCAGGAATCGTACCCAAAAATTATATAAACAAAATCCTATGAATTTATACAAATATGTGGCAATCATATGAAAACACTGCAAATATTACATCTTCCTGTGGTGCTGATGGGGAATAATTTGAGAATTTTAAGCAGTGCAACTTTTCAGATGCTGGAAAGACTTGGCCTCATTTCGAAACTGTAATAGAGGTTGGAATATATTTCATGTGACAACCATGTCCTCAAACCAGCTATTTGTTATTTCTTTTAAAAACACAAACAAACTATTTTCTCATTTTGTTTACAGGACAGTGGAACAGGAGATAACAGCTGCATTGAAGAAATATTGCGGGTAGGAATCCTTAAAAACCCATTTTTTTCCAGTGCCTTTTTGTTTACTCTAAAAAGACAAGGGAATAACAAGAATATTGCAACTATTGCTGTTAAAAATATTACTCTTTTAGATTGTCATCTTTCTAAGGAAAAAGTAGGCAAAATTATTTCCTCATGAAAAATAATTGAAAAAAATCTGTGAAAACAACCTTTCAGAGCCTCTGGATTTCACTGCTACTTTGTGCCAATACAGCTGACCTTCATGCATGCAGAAGCAGATAATGGGATAAATTATAAACTGAAATGTACAATGATGTTTCAGGTTTACAAACCATGCAGAGTGCATGTTTCCATTAATCATGACTGTCAAAAATCTTAATTTTGAAGGGAGGTCTAGGAAGGTCATTTTCCACCTGGATTTAATTAGAATCCATTATGTAATGTCATTATGTCCATTATGTCCATTATATAATGACAGTGTGCAAAATCTGTAGTTATTTCCATATTTCAGTATTATTTCATGTATTTTAGTAATTTCTAGTTTATTTTTATGGAGCAAATTAATACACATCCAGACAGATCTTGGCTTGAATCAACTTTGATATTGATTATTTTCTGAGGCAAATTTATAAACAATGAAACATTTCCATATATTTTAACTCATGGGGGGTTGGGGGGGGGGGTTAAACTGATAATTCAGTAATTAACAGTGCTTATAAATCTGATATAATACTGAGTGAAACACCGAATAAAGCAGATGGAATGGTAAAACTTCCCTATTACTGTGTGCGCTTCCACCTCTTGGATATCCAGTACCCAAATATTTCAGATTGTTTATAAACTACAAGGCTATAAATATTTGGTTTAGAGATTAGTAGTGCATTAAGCCTGTTGTTTCTAGAGGCATTTCTCCATTCTCCCGGAATATGTTAATTACAGCTTTTAATACTTAAACTGGACAAAGAGTTTATCAAAAGGTGATGATGATGTATTGCTTATGACTTCACTGGCAGAGCTTTTACTTAGCCAACATTTACAAAGTAGGCTTTTGTAGAACTGAACCGCATATTCAACAAGCCTTAGCCTCGAGTCCCTGCTGTTTTGTTACAAATTGGTAGCAGATACCATGAATTCATGATGCGATGTGAGACTCATTCACCCCTTTTTTATGCAAGGCTTTTAAAATGAGCAGTCGAGAAAGCTGATCTTCCTCCTTAGATTGTGTGATTTGACTTGTGCAATTAGGCAAAAAATGTAGGAGAGACATGGTTTCTTCCACTCAGAGGAACATGGATATGCAAGAGACCCCAGCTGAGAAGAAAAATGAACTATAAGACTAGGGATAGTAAGGTGCATCTTCAAACCATTTTTTTTTTCCTTTGGGAACATACCTCAACAAATATTTTTGTGAAGCCTCATGTTGAAGCATTCGGAATATCCTTGGATGTATAAGACCCTTTTGTTCCCGAAGATTTAGTCACAAATTCTTTCACTTTGCTTAAAAACTGAATAAAACAACCCACAGCTTAAAAGCCACACTTCGCATCAGTGTCTTACTATCTGCTGAGGCTTAGCATGGCTGACATAGAGAGCATGCTGTTTTCATCCCCTATCTCTTGTCCTCATATGAACATTCAGTCATCATGGGTAACTTCTCCAATCTGCCCATCCTCCAGGTCTGCAATCCAGATATCACTTTCTTTTCTAAATTTCCTTGTATCTTTGTGTCTAAGAGTACATGTAAATCTTGCAGATTGTTATTCTATAGCACTTGTAGCTGAAGCTCTTTATTCACAGAGGTATAAGTCTCAGGTCCAAATTCTCATTACACACCTTGATTGCTGCAACATCCTTTCCTTGGTTTTGACAAATGCAATGTTACCCACCTCCATTCATGCTGCCGCACAGATCATTTTCCTAGCTTGACATTTTGCCCAAAGACATTTGTCTTTACATCTCACCACTGTCATCTCCTCTATCACATCAAGTACAGCTGTTTGTCTCTGATTTTAAGGCCTCAAGTCTAACAGTCCATGGTAACGTATTAGCTCCCACTTTAGCTTACCGGGTGATGCCAGCCTCTGTCACAGTGGTACTAAGTTTTAACTCATTTCCTCCCATGCTTCCCACTAGGTCTGGGAAGAGCTTTGAACACTTTCCCAATTAGCTCCATACCTACCTTCAGATCCTCTCTTAAGAGCCTCCTTTTTCACAAGGACTGTGGAAAACCAGTGGTGAGGTCAGGGCTATATTCTCCTGCTTGAATGTTGTTGTTGCTCTTGTCCCTTGTAGTACCTGGTCAGGTCAGATATATCTATCTGTTCTCTTTTGTCCCGAAAAGTGAATTTTCTGTGTCAGGGAACTGCTATGTAGTACAAAAGCAGTGCTTAGGTACTCTTGCAATACAAATCCAGATCAGCAGTGGTGGTTGTTACTCATAATTAGTGAAAACAGCAACAGTACTAATGTGCCATTGCTACTCACTTTGTAAATTAGTGGCATTCAGACTTTTCCAGCCCTCTCCATGCCCTCTTTTTGTCCTGAACAGATCATTCAGTTTTAATACAGATTTTTCTGGTTTTCTGAAACAGACTGTTTATAAGGAATGTGATTTCCATGGTTTTGCCAGAGGTGCTATTCATACAGTAAAACCAAAGTTTAGCTTCTTTTTGGACAGAATATATGCAGTTCCTGTATGAGTGCCCAAAGGCAGACAATGAAAAGCCACAGGAGCTGCAATCCTTGTGTTCCCCTCAGAAAAGATGGCTGATGCACTGAAATGTGTTTATTATAGGAAGAGCCACTTTCACCTATGGAGCAGCAGCAAAAGGAGGAAGATGCTTAAAATGTTATCTGTTCAAGGAACGTTGTACCCTATTTTATCTGTCTCTTGCACAACACAAAGGAGAAAACATCCTTTCTTTCTAGTGTTCCCTGCACAAGTCAGACTGTGACTTTTGCAAGGCATAGGTACTTTCATAGCATGTCTGTGTGTCTGCAGTCAAGACAAGGGCAGTAGAAAGCGTACCCTAAGTCTGCTTCATCTGCTTCCCTTGTTTCCTTCCCCCAGAAGGTGAAAGGAGGAGAGTGCTGGTTTGTGCATGGATCTTGTCACCCTCTGGTTTCAGGGCATGGCCAGAGTAACATCTGGACCTGGGCTGCAAAATCAGTTTAGGCATAGCTTTAAAATCACCAAATCTTAGTTTGCACTAACTGTGACAAGAATTTATAGTCTTTGTGCTGTCTGGTGCAACGCAGGGTGCCACAGCTTAAGTCTAGCCTTTTTTAATGTTGTTTTACCAAATGTATCAGAGCTCTGTAGACTTTGTAAATTGTGCATGAAAACTGCAGCTTCCAGAGAAGGCCCCCAAGAACTGAGACACGGAACAGCTTCCAGTCCTGAAGGAGGTTGATTAATAAGACAGTAACCCTGTCGAGATTGGAGCTGTTGTAAGGACTCCTGCTGAGTTTATAATCACTCCAGGAATCCTGAACCTCGTCTAACCCCATGCACTAATTTATAGCAACTTCTTCAAAGTGTAGTGACTTCTCTGTCCAGCTGCAGGCATGCACGTCAAGGATAGAGAAACTTCTAAGAGAACCTTCAATGTAAATGACTCCAGTAAGAGCAAGTTACAGAAGTAATGTCAAATCAAGAGAGAAAAACCTCATCACTTGTCAGAAGCTGTACAAGGCAATTCCTTGTAAGCTTTTGCATTGTTGGTGGACGACATGGTAGAAAAACTTTGAAGTGGAAAATAAGACTTAAGACTACACAAATACCCTTTATTCCGCCGTGCCCAGAGCGTTGCTACCTGAATTCCTAAGACACTGCCAAAGCCAACCTATTCACTTCTTCACTAAAACATAGGCTTGCTAAGCAAGACTAGTAATTTTGGCTGATTTCTATTTGATTTTATTAGTGTGTGAAACTGTGTGTTTTGTTGAGTGGTGGGGTTTGGAGTAAATATTTATTTTGCTGTAGTACCTGCAAAAGTGGGGGCAGCAAGACTCCTGCCTCTCCACTAAGTTAACCGTTGCAACCAATATCGGATGCATTCTGAGTATATTTGCTGTGGATTTAAGGAGAAAGGGAGTGTGTCAGGTGCAGGCAGTTCTTGGTTTTTAAGATAAGTGGTTGGAGATTGATCTGGCTATTCTTACAGTCTTAGCTGCGATGTCCTAGCGTTGCGGTAGCTTTGTTGAAAGGAAATGCACAGGCAAGCTGAGCTTTTAATTATTGAAGATGTTCTTTGTGAATTCCCTGTGTTTTTTGTGTTGACATGAGAGGTGTTGTTGAACTGGGGAGAAACAGATGCAGTTTGAGTGTTTGGCCTGCAAACAGTGTTTGGCTGCAGGATGCAGAGACAGTGGGAAGCTGGTGGAGCAATAGGAATGCAGAGAAAGGGCTGAAGGAAAACCAAGCACAGCCAGTTAACACGAAAGAAGCCACCTCATTTGGGATGGCGTGGAGCAGTGGGGAGGCAGGATGGGCTGTAGGGTGGAGGACAGATAAGTTTCTTTCAAGGGCAATAGAAAAAGCAGTTGCGGCGGCAGTGAAAGGACTGAAACTAGCTGTGAGCATCCCTCCTCGTGAAGGACAATTCTGCTTGGTGCCACAAGCCTCCTGCTCAGGGGTGAGCACCCACAGGTGCCCTTGCAAATAGGTTGTGACTCCCCATGGCCACAGGACATCCACTTATGAAAACATGACATTTTAAGTGTGATGGCTTTGATGAGTAAATTACTTGAATTTCTCTACCCTGTGAAACTAATCAGAGTATGGAAAGCACAGTACTTCTTATGTGAGCAACATAAAAAAAATGAATGAAGACAGAATCTAATTCTGTATTTTTCCCCTTCCCCAGTTGGGATCTCTTGGCTCATTAGCAGGCTTGCTAATTCTTTAGCAGAAAGCATTAAGGATCAACCCATCAAATATTCAGGGCTTTTTTTTCAAACCTGAACAGCCATATGTGCTGTGAGATCAGCTGCACTCCATCAGCTGATTGAATTAAA